TAAAAACTCTAATCCGCTTAGCTAACAACTCTCTTAGATGCATACAAGGGAGGGTGTTACATTAATTGGTATCAGAGCAGTTTTGATTCGAGGTGTTTTGCATTGGTTGCTATTTGTTAATCATTGTTGTTGGTACATGTTGGTTTAATCATTGGTGTTTGAATTTAACTGTTGAACTTTTTGTTGGTTGCTGAATGTTTGGATTAAATCGCTGGACTGTTGGAATCATGATTGGCACGTGCTGAATTGTTCCGTTAAACTATGAAAGTTAGTATGATTAAAATGTTAGAGTTATTATGAGCTATATTGAAATCACCTTATGGAGTTGTTATGTACAGCAGTATGAAATTAACTTACTTGGAGCAGCTTTAAGTCTCTAGAATTGTGTGAGATACTGTTTGGTTTTCTGAAATGTAGACTGTATTGTATAGATTTACCTTGTTGTTGACCTGATAAGTATAAGGCAGTTGTGCAGCAATAAGTGTAGCCTGGTTGAGAAATTGAGTTTAACCTGTTCTATTGATTGACTGGTTTGCTGTTGATATTATATTGATGTTGTTCAGGTTGCCGTATATTATGTTATGTTTTATTATATGCCCTGTTCGATTGTGCTGTCCATATTATGCATTGAAATATTTGATTGGAAGTGTTTGCTGCTAGTAAATTGTGCAAGAGTTGTCTGACTGTGTTATGTTGCAGTTGAATGGAAAATGTGTGAATTGTCTACTTGTATAATGGATTATTTGAGATTCTGTCTTGAAGTGGGAACCGTGTCTTAATCTTAAAACTACTGTCGTGTATGTCATGCGGTGAGTAGGATCCGCTCGTTGCTTAGCATGACGAAAGTATAATTAGCATCTATGAGACACGAAAACCTCCTCAAGAGAGAAGTCTGATGCGTGGTAGATTGTAATTGATTAATGCCTGAAGGAAGAATAAATAATGAAGTATGAAATTTTTCGATTCCCAGTGTGTGATGAGGTGATACTCCAGTTGTGACTGGGAATGGGTTTGGCCAACACATTCTCCGGTAACACGATAGTATCAAACTGTCAAACACCGAGAATCAATTAATGAAAAGTTTTGTTTGGTGGTTTTGGTAACCATATTGGAAACTAGTTAGGAATTCAATCTAGGGAATGCCTTGAATAATTAGAATAGGTAAACTAAATTTTGTAGAACCATATAAGTGGACGTCGTAAGGAATTGAGGTTTAAGTTGTATTAAAAGTGAGTGATCTCTGTTTGATGAATTGAATACGTGAAAACTTTATTTTGGTATTGGCTTATCAGGATAGAGATTTAATGACGAGTCTGCGGTTTGTTAAATTGAAATTATGAAAATACATTATTAGCTTTGGGTATTGGTTTGTTGGGTATAGCAATTAAAGAGAAGTCATTGAAATTGAATCTTTGGTAAAGTGTCAGAATTTGAGTTTATGAATTGCTTAAATTGTTTTAACCGTCTAGAATGTGAACCCCATAGTAGTGATGCTTAGTTAAAATCAGTTGGGTGCTGTGCTCAAGAAATTACATGTGTTATATGATCTGGATGCGTATGTTTCGCTATAATCTAATTACTACATGAGATTTTTTTTATTTTTGTGAATCTAGTTGAGTTGATTTTTCTATTTTGAGCAGCTGATTTTTGTGAATTTTATTTTATGCTGAAAGTGGGAAATCTATGTGTGGTATATCCTAGGAAGGGTATTAGAACTGAGTTCAATGTGAAAAGTACAGCTTTGTCAGTGATCGTATTTTATTAGTATTACTTATGACTCTAAAGAGAATATTAACTGCAATTAAGATGTTGAGTATGGGTATTGTGTGTGGGAATTATAAAAGTCTGGTTTATTTGATGAATTATGACTAGGAACTGTTTAAATTGTAATGTGTAATGATTGGAAAGTTCATATCATGGTTAATGAATCCTCTGATCTGTGGAGTCAATTACATCCGAGGTACCTAGGACAGCGGAAAGCTCGAGGAAGTTTCCTCATATGGGTGTTTTGACGAGCTGTATGAGAGGTACCATCTTACGTGATATGTACGAAGATCATGATAAAATTAATTAGTGTATACATGGTTGCTTGGTATTCTGATTTTGTCGAGTACATTGTAAAAGGATAGACTTGGTTATTTTTGATTTTAGGAAAATATTAGACAGTAGCTACAGACTAAACGAACAAGCTTAACATCTCTTGTAATCTCGGCAGTTAGAATTAGTCCCTTGGAATCTCAGTATCCTCACCCGTGTCTTTAATTCAGCTTCATAGCTAGAATGAATTAGAAGTGCCTCCTAAATCATAAGCTCTAGACAAAAGCACTACTCAACAGTGTAATTCCTTTTCCGTAAGATAGTGGCAAATATTGTGCTGTTTACTTAATTGATGCCGTTAAATTTTTATAACTCAATAGTAATGGACTAAGATCTTTAGAAAATGAGAACATTAATTGAATTCTGTCTGTGATGAAATTTTTGCGATTTTACAAAGACCCTTCTACATTGTAAGTTGGAATATGATACATTCTGTTTTACTTACTTGAATTCTTGTAGACTATTAAATTGTAAAATTCTACTCTTGATGTTTGTCAAGACAGGTAATCGGTTGTGAGGTATTTATTGAATTGAATTTTATCATGTGTAAGGAGTAACTAGGGTGTGGATGAAATTATAATTTGTAACCTACAAACTGTAAAGATAAAATAATTGTTATTGATGGTCTTAGTTAATTAGTCTTTTGTCTGCACGAGTAATAAGTTACATCCAATTGTTTTAAAATTGTCTAATTCAGGATTGTGAAATTTTGATTGTGTGACCAATTGTGAAGTAACTTGCTAGAATAAATTGGTAACCCTCAACCAATCGTGCCTAAAACTCTCGGGTCATCTTGTAGGTAATTATATGCAAATTTAGTATAGTAAATATAGCATGTGTATCAGTAAGAGGGTACAAATATCTAAATTTCATATTTTTAGATACTTCAGACCTATTGCCGATACTAATACTAAGTAGTAGCCAATGCACTCTTGACCTTGACAGTAATATATGTTGTATATGTACATCCTAGATGTAAAAGTGGATAGAATTTGCCTACGGTTGGAATGGAATACGAGTAATACGAACCGATTTGTATTCCATTTCCTTTGAAAATATGAACACAGGAATAGAATAATTTAAAGAACTCGCAAAAATTTTTTATCTCTTTTGTAAAGGGTTCGGTTAATAATAAATAAAAATGGTTTGCAACATTTGACTCCTTACTGCAGAAGGATTTAATAGTAGATAGAAACGGGGTCGGTTGAATTTCAAGTATTTCATTTCACAAATAGGACACGGAAACTTACTTCGCATTTTGAATTGCACAAAAAAGACTATTTATCTCAAAGAGGTTATTCCAAATTCAAAGCAATGCCTATAGTACCCTCTACAAACTCCACTAATTCACCCGTCATTACTTCATCCAGACCATAAATATGAGCAATGCCATCGCCTACTTGAAGTACGGTCCCTCTTCGTTAGTTGGGGGAAGAATCTGCATGAATCGTATTTTTAATTCTCTCATCTCTTGAAGATATTTGTTCTAGATCAAAAAAGAAATGACCCCCCGAATTCTTTCGGATTTTGAGGCACATTAAAGTGGAAATCATGTCATTGATTTGGACCCACATAAAGAAGCGAAGAACATAGATAATAATGTTAAGGGATAACCACAAATGTATACAGACATGGAAGAAGATTATATATATATATATATATATATATATATATTGGGTCTTAAAGGAGAACATGAATTAGGAGACCAGTGTGGTTGTTTCTTTTCTGTCAACCATCAAGTATAAAATTTATATAGTGAAGAAATATTGTACAAATGGATTTGATTGGTTGACAATTAATTCTATAATAAAGCCCTGAGCCTCATTATAATTTAGGGATAATTGGAGTTATTCGTTGATTAAGATTATATGTTGGTTTTACTTCGCCTCTGTGGCAGTATGAATTTGATGTTGTTTAAAAAGAACCAGACAATTGGGTGTCTATGATGATGCTTAGGAAAGTTTTTATTTCCTTCCGTACGAGTATGGTTTATTATATATTCTCTAATGAACTTGTAAAGTACGATTTATTTATAATATCCTGAGTTAATTAATAATTTTGATAACTGCCTGGCTGTATGCGATGTAAAGTCTTGCATAAATGTATGTGTGTTTGGCATTCGCCTTGAATAGTTAGCGGAATGGTAGGACGAAGTTTGGGGACAAACTTCAAATTTGGTGGGGAGAGTGTAACATCCCGCAAAAAAAAATAAAAAAAATTGGAAATCTCATAACGTGTAACTAGGGGTGTGTAGCATGCCTGAAACTCGAATTAAATTTTGTGTTTACAGTGGAATTAATTTAATAGGGAATTAATTTAATAGGGAATGAATTATTTTAGTGTAGCTTATGAGTAAAAACTTAGGTATTTTAAGAATTCGAAACACTAGTTAGGAAGGAATAGTAATAAGTTCAATTATAATCTATTTAGAAACCTTAATTATTAACTAGTGGGCATAAGAAATTACATACATATATATATATATATATATATATATATATATATATATCTATGATTAATATGTACATATTTTAGGTGCTAAGTGAACCTATCATGAAATAATATTAATAACATATTACAATTTAATGAGTGACCCTTAAGAAGTATGATTAGCATAAGAATATTTTTAAGAATCCCATGGAGAACTCTAGTTACACATAGTAGCTTCATGAGACTACATGGCTTAGGTGAATTAATGGGTCCAATTCCCTCATGGGCCACGGCCCAAACATTTTAAAATAAGGGTTTAAGTCAGCCTATATTTCTCACTTATGCTTGGCCAAAGGAGGACACATGTACAACCTAATCTCTCACCAAAATTACCTGCATGAAAAGCTATTGGTCAATAGCAACCTTATCTCTCTAGCGCCCAATGTGGGCAAAAGATATCTTAACTTTCACGTGATTTTATTGGGCAAGAGCCAACTTTCCTCCACCTTGTTCTCCATCTAGTACGCACAGCAAAGGAGAAAAGACCAACATCAAGTTGATTACTCATTCTGGTCAGGAAGATAAACTAGTCATCCCATGTGTACAAAGCCGCGAGCTCCTAGGGAGAACACCCCAAACACCTAAGCCCATCCTTTGATACTCCTCTCTTGATTCAATCGTCCACCAAGCCAAAAAACACGCAGACCCCTTTCTTCTCCTACTCCCCTCAAGCCGCGAGTTATCTAAGAGGGGAACAACCATTCAAGTTTCCATTTTCCCTGTATGGTGCGGCTGAGTGGCAGCAAGCAGCCAAGAAGAACGCACCATGAGTCCATTTTCTTGCTTGTCTTGTTCGGCCGTGAGTTACATGTAAAGAGGTGTAGAAATTTCTCTAATCGTTTGTGTATCCTTCCCTCTTCGATTTGATGAGAAGATTCAATTGCATGCAGGTTACCTTTTCGGTTCTTAAAGGAACTCCCCTGCATGCAGCAGCAACCCGACTTATGACAAGAAAAACCAGCAACCTTGAGTTTTGACTCAAGCTTCTTTCTTCGCAAGAACAAGTGAGCAATTCTCACATTACTTGCTCTCTGATTTTGGCATGAGAAAGGATGAGTGGGCTGTTTCTTATGTGTTTTCTGTTTTAATCCTTGGACAGTGAAAGGTGAAGGTGCTGTCCTCTTATGGTTGGGGCACACGAACTGATTTTGGGAGCTGGTTGGGAACATATGCAAGGTAGGAATCTGAACCGTGTCCTCCCTTTTTTTTCCTCCCTCTAATTCGGCATTTTGTTATGTATTCAAGAAGAAGATGTTGTGCCATTTCTCCTTTGTGTTCTGCCATTGGGAAAAACCCATGAACTTGGTGCTTGTTAGCACAAGGAGAATCCAATTGGTGAGCTTGGAAGTGGCTCCCATTAATTTGGTGGGACGGTAGCTGGAATTAGAAAAATTAATTAAGTTGCATGTGTCCATTTGGTTAAAGACAGCATACTATCATTGAATTACTCTGATTAAGTAATAGTAGTAGGGTTATATTAGAGGAAGGATTAGAATTCATTAGGGATTAGCCTTAAAATTAAATGTAGGCAGAAAATTAATAAGCGATTGGAACCGAGCTCTGTATGTACCATAGCATGTGTAGACAGCTTAAATTATGCCCCTTCAATGACTCCAAAACCGTATAGGCAAGGGATGTACATGATAAATTAGTAGCCTCTAGGAGATGGTCATAAAACCAGGGTACATGCATAAGGAATTTGAAGTTACGATACTAATTGACAATGGAGAAAAAATTAAAGCAATCAAGTAAGGAATTAATTTAGTATTTGAAGCTTGGCATTTCAGTTAGAACTTTAGGAATTGGCAGCGTGGAAATTACATTTGTTATATAGTAAATAATAAAACGAAATTCTGTTTTGGTAATTGATTTAATTAGGTGCAAAGACTTCTAAACCTCGGGGAACTCTATGTGATGTATATGTCATGAAATAAATTTTGATTGGATATATATATATATATATATATATATATATATATATATATATATATATATATTTGATTAGGTGCGCAAGATCCTAGCTCATTGGATTGTTTGATTGATATTTGGCTGTCTGAATAATGCTTGGACTCACAAGGTATGTGTTTGGTGGTATTACCTAATGTGATTATTAACTAGTGTATGAAGTTGTGAATTGTTGCTCACATGTGCCTAATGATTATCCTGCTATTTATGATGAAAGTATTCTGCCTATGGAAATGTTATGATGGTAACTCTATTATGAAAATAAATGATGGCGTGGCAGTATGGTATCAAAAGTACATGAAGTATATGTTATGATAATGATGATATAAGCATGCTTTTTACATCATACCGCATCTGCTTTTCTGTTTTGTGTGTGACAGCATAGCATTGCATGCATGCACAGGACTCATGTTAGCCTTGAAATTTAGAATAGTTATATACAGGACCATATATATGTATGAGCACGCATCATATAGGCATCCCTTCGGTACCAGGGTATAGGACACTTGGCTTCCGTCCGCATAGGCCACAGTTGGAATTCACCTTTGAGGGAGCCATTATGGAATATCCACTGTGTATGTACGCGCAAGACGGTGCTATGAGCATAATGATGGCGTTATATACGCACTATGAAATGTTAGTACTCGCACGAAGGTGCTATGAGCGTAATGATGGCGTTATATACGCACTATGATATGTAACGAAAAATGAAATGTTGATGTGACTGTTTATAATTTTGTGCCTTGTCTAATATTGTTGCATTATTGGTTTTTCTATCACACTACTGGGATTTTTCTCACCCCTTTGGGGCTGCTATTTTTATAAAATGGCAGGAGGACGCAAAAGCATATGAGGACATGGATTATTTGGATATTTGCTGTTAAATTCTGCTGTTTGGGATTTTTGCTGCTGTCTGCTTGTCTTATGGATGTTGGCTGTCTATGATATATGATGTAATATTTTGGAAGATTAGACTACTGTTGAAATATGTTTTATTTTGATGTTTTCAAGACTTTTATAATCAGTTATTACTTTGGAAAAAAATTCCTGGTTACGTTTTGCGTAAACAATTTCTTAACGTTTTGGAATCAGCTTTATAACTGTTTTATGAGCACTTTGCGAGTTGTCGTTCTGGGGCTACAGACCTCCGAATGAGGTATAATTTATATGCATGTAAAGCCCCAGTTGTATACTTTCATATTATATAAACCTTACAATGAAATTATGAGATCCCGATTTATTATGATTTTTACAAGTCAGGAGGTTTTTAGAAAAATACACTAAGTTTTTGAGTACTTTACGAGTTCTGTTTCATGGGGCTATTCTCCTCCGATTCGTGTATAATTTATATGCACGCGAAGCCCCAGATGTCTAGTTTCTATATAACAAAGAACATTTTTTTGAATCGTTGAAATTGATTTTATACGAATTTTTCAAGACAGCAAATTCTGTCAGGATCGTTAGGAAATTCAGCAAGCTGTGTATTTTTAAAATTGTCACTTTGATTTTTATGAACAACTGGATTTCGACGCAAGTTTTAATTAGAAACTGGAAATGATTTTTCAATACTCAAGTAATGACGTTAATAACTCTAATCCGCTTAGCTAACAACTCTCTTGGATGCATACAAGGGAGGGTGTTGCACATGGTCTCTAATGAAATGATGTCTAATATCTATATGCTTTGTTCTAGAGTTCATAATAGGATTCTTAGTTGGATTAATTGCACTTGTGTTATCACATTTAATTGAAATGTGAGTGAGGAATAAACTATAGTCTTAAAGTTGTTGCTTCATCTATAAGGCTTGGGCAACACAACTTCTGGTGGCTACATATTTCGCTTCGGTGGTTGACAAAACAACACTCACTTCCTTTTTACTATGCCAAAAGACTAAAGCATTCACAAACAAATGACAAGTATCACTTGTACTATTCTTATCCAACTTACAACTGGCATAATTAGAATCAAAATATCCAATTAAAGTAAAGAGGGAATCCCTTAAGATACCACAAACCCATATGTGTAGTGCCTACTAAGTATCTCATAATCCTTTTAACAACATTCAAATGTGACTCTCTATGACACGATTGATAGAGCACATAGACAAACACAAAACATAATATATGGTCTACTAGCGGTCAAATATAATAAAGAGCCAATCATTCCTATTTATTTTGTTACCTTAATCAGTTTACCATCATTATCCTTGTGAATTGGAATTGAAGTGCTCATAAGAGTGTATAACAGCCTGTTGTACACCGGTATTGTTAACATAGATTATGATTTTAAGTGCAGTTATAATCACAGCAGTTTATATAAAAATACGAGTAAACTTTTTTCTTTTCATTACTATGCAATTTAAAACAATTATAATACGTAATGATACAAACTGTGATCGCAACTGAAAACTAAACGCGAAATCAATAATATACTTTCTTAACTATCATACAATACTTATTTTAAGTTACTAAGAGGTTTCCATAAACCCACATAGCACAAATCTCATTTTTTTCACTTTCCTAAATTTGAGTACGCTTCTGTCTTTTCAAAACTGGGCATGATCTACACATTATTAATTTCCCATCTTTAAGTATGTTGAATTAGACTCTATTACCTTTCCAACAAGGTATCACATGCCTCATTTAGAGTTCTCTAACTCCGGTTTCATCGTTTGAAGTTGGACAAGCAAAGCTGCCAACAAACTCCAAACAAAGCACCAAACATCCCTCACCATTTTTACGATTTCCAACGATTTACTAAATCAAATGCACTCAAATTTTTACACAGGATACTAGAAACCTTGATCTTCAGTTTGGTATTTCATAAGCCTAATTTGGGTAAGAATTAAGGGAGATATGATTTTTATAAACAGGGACCCGAAACAACCCCTGCACTTGTCCAGTTTGGGCAGTCTATGTTCTCTTCGTACTACAAAATGGTATACAACTCTAAATGGCACCAAATTTTGAGAAAACATAGATGACATCTCAAACTTTAAAATAGTGTATGGTACATCCCAATTGGACCTATATGGAGGGAGATATGCTCTCCCAAAGTTGGCCTAAAACTGATCATTTCTTAGAAAATTCGACGGCATCTCTTTTGTTTTATTAATTAATCCCACTTTACCATAGTGTGTTCTAAATCATCAAATTGTACCTAATTGACAAGGGTGGCACACAAGGATTAACAAACCTTGGTACTCTTACAACCCACAACATATTTACATCATTTTCTTGATTAACTCACAATGTATTTCACACTTAAACCTTTTGATACTCATTTCAATAACATATTTCAATTTCATGCATTTGACATCATTGGACAATATTATAGCCTAAAATAGGCCTATGTCCCTTATATCAGATACATACATCGTTACTTTACACAAGGTTCATAATTCTTTAATTACATTAATCCATCATCAAATATAACTACTAATCAAATGCTCCAAATACACAATGACATAATCACTAGACTTAGCCAAAATATAACATGAACAAGAAAAGCATGGTACATGTCACTCTTGCAATATAATATGTTCATGCTCTAAGTCTAGCCTATACAAAATAATCCAAAATACAAAATGGCATGCTATCCCCATGCACTGCACATGCTTTCCACATCGTCAACGTGTGGGCCTCTTACCCAGGACTCCAGCACTGCTACAACCACATGAAACATAGCCCCATAATGCGAGGTGAGATATACGAATATATCTCAGTAATCCAAAGGCTCTCTAGAGGATCACTCCGCCCAATAGCTCGCTCAGATGTAAAATAACAATAATACAACCATACACATATCATACAAATCATACGGCCCAATGGCCTACGACATACGGCATATCATCGGGCTCTCATCCAAGAATGTATCCCCCGGATATCATTCAATGCACCCACAACTATAACTCCCGAGATATTCATAGAGTGCTCCTCAACTGATCACAACTCTATGGCCCCAGGCCAACTAGAACTCCTTACGGAGGCCTCTTCAGTCTTTAGTGGAAGTCCCCTATGGCATACGACAACTATCTACTGGCCAGAGATACGGTACAACTCTATGTACCCATTCAACAAACATGCATGACCGTGGTATACTTACACTATTGTATCAAACAACTTCCAACCACTACCCCAATGGGCATGTGGAGCACACATGGGAATTAACCCCAGACCAAGAGATTACCTTTTTGAAGCTCCCGAGCTAGGTAGCTTCAATCGTAAGTTACTCCAAGCTTTACTTGTACAAGAAATGCCTACACATAAGGTAATTCCCACGACATTTAGTACCAATATCCTTTTGGTCAAGGACCAAAGGCAATCGACAAGCTCCAAGCTTTAGTTTTCTCGGATTTCGTACGTGGGAGGCAACCTACAATGCTCACAATACATGGTCATCAATCCACTTGTTACACAAGTTATAATCCAACACAATGCACCTCCCTCCCACAGGTATCCAATTCGGCCATAATGCCATTTTTACAAATTTTATTTTGTTAATTGTATACAACATTTCTAATGGTTTACTTGTTCACCCACAACACTATATCAATACCCCAATTGTATCAAACATCACTCAAACCATCACTTAGCACAATTTTCTCCAAGAAAGCCCAATATGGCCGTGGGTGATGCATAAAGGGAACTAGGGATTTTTCTTTTCTTTTTAAGGTTCAAGGCTCATTCTTAGGTCTGCACTAGTTCATCTACACACCAACTAACACCCTTCATTAAGTCCAACATCCAATTGCACAATCACACCCTAATTTCACTTACATGGTCGAATCTATGCTCTATGTACATCAAGTGACCTTTCTTTCAATTCACATGCATTACTCACTCATACAACCCACTTATACTTGATTCAAATCCACATAAATTCAACTACACAATTTTTGCATCATATTTCTCTTAATTCCCCTATATGGCTGAATTCTTGCATACTTGGCCCAATGGATTACTAATTGATTTTTCACACATCCAATGCACCACACATCACGTAATTAACTAACATAACTAATCTGCAACACAATTTCACAAGCATCCAACAATCCAATTACACAAAGTTATACTCATTCATCCAAAATCCACTAAGTTATCAAACTTTTTCGCAATAAATTTTATGAGTTCAATCACTCTAATTCATCATTCTAAACAACATTTATCTAATGCACAAATTTCATTTGAGGTCCCCAACTACATCAACCAAGATACACATGCTTTAGGTCTTCAAAATTTGATCTCAAAGATTAACCAACAATAGGTAGTGAAACTCACCAATAATCAAGGCCCAAGACCCCTTAAGAAGGTTCCCAAAGCAATATCTCAACCAACAAGCTCCAATGGTGTCAATGTCTTCAAATTTTTTCAAGGATGGGTAGGGAATTTCTCAAAATCTAGGGGTTTTCAAGAGGAATGGAGGTGTGGGTTGGATTCATTGGCTCATTTACTTGAAATTTCATGTAGTGGATGAGTGGTTTTGGGGAGGAATTGATGAAGAAAAATCCAAGCCCCTTTCAATGGAGGAAGCTCAGCCTTTGGAGAGCGAATGGTGAGGAAGATGAGTGAATAGTGGCTGATGAATATGTGTTGTAACACCCTATTCTAAGAGCCGTGGTGTTATCATTGCTTACACTTATGCGCTATTTAGGGAGCTTACTGGCAGCGAAATAAATTCCTTTTCGATTACTACTAAGTATATGGTTACTTAAGTGTCTTATGGAGACGGTGACTTATGTTACATAGAGGCTTGATCTTAATCTAAGTCCTATAATTTGAAACCTTTAAGATTCCTTATGGAAACGTTCCTTGCTTAGGTTCCTCTTCCACTCATCGTTACGCCTGAGTAAGAGTAAGGTTCCTTACACTATACCAAATCATGATTTAGATGAAATTCTAAAAGCAACTAAGCGTAATCATAATAACCTCAAAGTAAAATAGTTAGGTACAGTCATCCAAAATAACTACTACTACTCAATGTCTAGAGATCCATCCAAAAGCTCATAATATCCTAACATCTCATCCAAAATGAAAAACATAGCGTGCACATATAACTTGTTACGAACTAATTTAGTACAGTCATCCGATAA